TAAACTTAGTCTTTACTATCTTCTTCACCCTGTAGTTCATAAACATGATTCTAATAACTTATGTTACCCTCTGTTCCAACCCTTACGCTGAGTATCCTCCCTTTTCTTTATACTCCCTCACCTCCTCCTTACCTTTTACCTGATTTATTATCATTCTTATGTTTAAAATGTACAATGTACATTGTTTTTATCTGCAATTCTCATTCGTTTATAGTGGGCCAACCAATTAAAACAACCTACTCTGGTTAGGCGGGTCCAAACTACATAGTAAATTGTGATTTTTTTATTTGTATTATCTCGTGCTTTGTAGTTGAATAAAAATATGAAATATGAAGTCTGTAGTGGGTTTGTTCATATTTCACTTTAGAGAGATCAACTAGCGACGGAGAGACATCGTAATATTTGGAGAAAATTATCATAATATTAATGCATTTCAACGTTCTTAATTTCAATAGAAACCCAGCAATTGATGTTTTATCCAGTTACGTCTTAGAAATTCTAAACATTTTTGTTCTTCTCAATAGCTTTTTAAACAAGGGGAGTTATTATTCAAAACATATGAGATTTCAATCTTACTAGGAAATTACTTTTGTTTGACGAGTACTTTACAACCTTAGTAAAATATACAAAATACAGATTTTTAAAGAAACTGATTAAACATGTTACTTTTCTCTTTAGTTCAAGTAGAACTATTACAGAAAGTGTTCCCACCACCAATATTCCAAATTTCTACAGGTAAATATTTACAAATGTTCGTCTTTATTCCTTCTTTCAATTATACAACATGTCACCACGTTTAGTGATTTATAACTGTTTAAACTGAAATTGTTCAGAACTTGAAAATTATGTGTTGAATACCCATAATTCCCGATCACTTGATTTCGATATCCACTATGGGTACTTTTAATTTGAGGATCAATTCTGAATCTGCATATTAATAAAAGATCGAGATCAATTATTGATATTAAACATATTAAACCATGCACATATACATAAATCAAACCATGCACATATACATATATTAAACCATGCACATATACATATATCAAACCATGCACATATACATAAATAAAACCATGCACATATACATATATTAAACCATGCACATATACATATATCAAACCATGCACATATACATATATAAAACCATACACATATACATATATCAAACCATGCACATATA